CTAACGGAAATTCATCTGTCCTGGAGGCCATTTACTGACCATTGTTTTATATGCATGCATGAATCTATTCGTTGAACTTTTGCTCTCATCTGTTCTCGTTTCCGAATGAAAATCTTGAGTGTATTACGTCATTTCTTAGTATTATGACATGTTAGGGTGAATCCTACTTCGAAATTCATTCATTCATCTTTTTCTGCGTTATATGAGTGGAACAGACAAAAGAATATTAGAAGAAGCATGTATGTGTGCACGAGATGTTACAAGTTGCGTGACATTCAACAAAGTAAATTAAAACTGACCAGTAGTAACTAGCACTACCATCATCATCATCATCATCCTGTTGTAATAGGCATATGAGAGTTAGTCGGATAGGCAAACATACAATTACACGCTATCTTTTGTTCACAACCAGCTAATTCAACATATATAGATTATATGTTTTTCTTTTTTTAGTAAAGAAAATGGTACGTCGATCTAAAATGCCAATATGTGGTAATGGCATTGTAGAAACTGATGAAGATTGTGATTGTGGTTTGAATAAGGTAATGTACTTTGTTTTTATTAGAATATGAGAATCGATAATCTTATCAAAATAAACGCTATTAAGCAAACCGGAAAGCTTTTATTACGATTATATTTGAAAAATGTTCATCGAGTACGAACATTTTGCCTGCTAAATTATAGAAGTGATATTGATTGAAGCTAATGAAGAGATTATTATTTTTTTCCTTCGAAAAAGAAATATGAGAAACAAGTAATTATATTTGACTAGTTTCACTTAATCTTAGACTTATCTATTATAATCAAGTTAAACATGACTTAGATGACATGTTCATTGTTAAATCACACACATGTTTTGACAATAACAGACTAATTAGACGAAATATTCGTTAATTTTTCAGTCTCTTAAAAGAACCTGAAGAAATTCAAGAGACATTGGATGAGAATTAGAATTTTGTATACTTTCAAAATATAATCTCAAAATTTTTGCAGAACTTCTGGTTGCAACGGATTATGAACCGGCCTTTTTGAAGTCCATAAATTAAATTTCAGTGAGCTTGATTGCGCTAAAACTTATTTAATGAAGAAATAAAAATTATTTCAAATACAACGAATGAAAAATCAAATGTTTCTCTGTAAAATACTATACGAATGATTAGTTTGACGCAATTCATTTATCAATAGTGAGTAATTTGGTGACGGGCACCATGTCAATTAGGACAATGTTCTCGATTTGTACGAAAAACTGATTTACAAGTTCGTTGAAGTAAAGAATTATTAAAGCTACGTTCAGAAAAAAGACGAAGTTTTGATTCAAACTGAATGTATAATGATTTATAGAATTCGAATTTTTATTGAATAAATTATTATCTATATAAATAAATTTTAACAGAAAGAAAACAAATATCTTCTTTTTGTCTTTTAAATAGAGTTGTATATCAGTGGAAGCATGTTGCAATCCTCGAACATGTCAATTCTATTCTGGAGCTGAATGTTTATCCGGCGCTTGTTGTTCTGGTTGTAAATTACTTCCATCAGGTTATACATGTCGAGCATCTCGAAATACATGTGATGTACCAGAATTTTGCGATGGTATTTCTCCTCAGGTATTTCAAAACAATATAATATATACGAATGTCTATTATTCCATTATTTTCATTTAGTGTCCTGAAGACAGTAATTTTATGGATGGTTCATCATGTCATGAGAATATTGGTACATGTTTTCATGGTATGTGTGTTGGTGCACAACAACAATGTATTGATCTTTGGGGACCAGGTAAATTTTTTAAATAAGATTTTTTTTTTTCTCAATTTTAATGATTGAAATAGGTGCGAAAGTGGCTCATGATTCATGTTATATAAGTTTTAATCCATCAGGTTCAATGACTGGTCATTGTGGTTATGATTCTCGCTTACATAAATATATACCTTGTTTTGACAAGTAAGATTCATTTGATTTTCTTTCATTACATATTCCATTGATATTATCGATTTCGATGTTCATCTCTATCGAACGTGTCGCCGAGGCATCGCGACATCTTCTTATAGTGCCTGCGATCATTCTACAGTTAACAGGGCACTTAATCGATCGCCAAATACTTGTATTTGAAACCCGTTTTCACCCCAAAGCTAGCTTTAGGGACATGGTCTGATATTCGATTTCCGAGCGAATTACAATGATCTCTTGTTGTGCACATCGTCAGAGATTTTCCGAGACGCATTGGAATGACTTAGAAAACACCATAACGAATTCACCTTCGTTTGTTGTCCTTGTTTCATTGTCAATTTTTTCTAGTGATGTCAAATGTGGTCTATTACATTGTGAAGGTGGTATGCCTTATCCTCGTATAGCATCTTCAAATTTTATGATTTTTAATGTTAATACACGTGAAGGTTCATTTGAATGCAAGTAAGGAAAAATATTTAAAAGAAAAACAAAACACATACATATTTTTTTGTATACTAGGACCATTTCAAGTCCAATTCATTCAGTATTAGTTAATGATGGTAGTATATGCGGTGAATCAAATTTTTGTCAGAATAATACATGTATAGAACAAAAATCAAAAGCAACATGTAATTCACAAAAAACATGTTCAGGAAATGGTGTAAGTTATTAAATATTAAATTTTCATTGTCAAAAAACAACATAATACATTTAAATCTTCTTATTACTTGATGAAATATTTATATTTTTCTTTTCTAGGTATGTACTTCAATCAATTCATGTTATTGTAATCCATCATGGAAAGGAAAAGATTGTTCAATATATGATTATACATATCAAGATACACATTTATATAATCGTACATTATCATATGAAACAGGTTCGTAAATCGATATAGTTTTTAATGATATAAATATAATTCTTCTTTATTTTTATAGATCCTGTTTCACCAACGACTTTTTTTAGTATAGCAGCAATAACATTTCTATTATTTATTTTATGCATAATCACATCATGTTTATTCAGGTAGAAAAATAAATTTTTTGGAAAACAATAAAACACTTTGAAATTTTGTTTCTTTTAAATTAAATTAGAAATAAAAATCATCGTCATCGTCGAAAATCTCATGAATTAACTATTATTAATCATTCAAAAATACATCAACCACAAGTTACAATTAATCCAACTGATATTGAACTTGATCGAACAAAATTTATAACACAATATAATTCAAATAATCAAGATCTTGTTTCAACACCTATGTCTATGCATCGAACACCATTAAAACATTCACCATTTATGGCTAGTAATAGATCTATAACAAGTATATGTACAGGTCTCTCATATTTACCAACCGATACACCACATTCTGTTCGTTATATTAATCGAAAACCATCAACAAATGCTATATTCAGTGATTCTGAAACACCACGTACACGTATACGTCGACAAACACGCCATATTGGTTCACCATATCTATATAAAAATTCTAATCATCATCATCATCCTTCTCAACAACAAACTTATGCAACATTAACATTAAAACGTCATAATGATATCAATATTCCATATGAATCATCAAGAAAAATTTATGATGATATTGATAAACTTTCAACAAATGAAAATTTACGTGATTTTATTCAAGTATTGGATTCATTTGCAAAAGAAAAATTTGGTAGTAAAAGTATAAATCAAATAACATATGAAAAAGATTCCATCGTACCATCAAGTCCAACTGAAACAAATGAATCAATAACACTTGATAGTGGTTATCAATCAACAAAACAATTAATAAATACAGATGAATATGCTACTGTTATCAAAATGAAATCAACAAATGAAAAATTTCAAAAACGACAACGATCATATTCATCAATTGATAATAAAGAACAATTTTCTACATAATACAAAATACCAAGTCAAAAATTTCTATGTCATTTTTAAAGTTTTTCTTTTTCGTTGTCAAATAAATAAATAATTCAAAAAGGCACAAAATTTAAATATATTTATATTATAAAAAGTATGACATCAATCATGAATATATCATTAATAATAAAATATCGAAGAATTCATGATTTCTATGTAATACTTTCTTTTTTACTTTCATAGTATTTCTTTGGGGAATAATACATCAACTAAGTATAACTTTTATTAACGAGAATTCATTTCATATATATGAGAATTATACTTCTACAAGATTTATAATATATTATTACCATGATTATTGAATGAAATTTTCAACTAGATGCAATACATTCACGAACAGAAAAAATCGACCAAAAGAATACGCTAATTGAAACATGTATGCTAATGAATATTAAGAAGAAAAAAAATCATATTCTTAATCAACTAGAATGATTAGTAAATGTTAAGTTTTATAAGTTATTATTTTCTTTTCATTTTTAATTGTACTTAGGAAAAGTATTGTATTGAAGTTGTTTCCCTCAGCTCAATTAAATAGAAGTGAGATTGAAAACTTAGTATGCATATAGATGATTTCTATGTAATAAAAAAAAGAATACAATTTCGAGTATTTATTAAAAGGATTTCATCATTTATTTCTATTGTATTTTTAAACAATAAAACCATGTATACCAAACTAAATCAAAAGACGTTTTTCATTCTCACATATCATTAATAATCATAATAGCATAGAAGAACGAAGGAATTTTGTTATGAATAACAAAATCTAGATCATGCGCATTTCTCATGCTAGTTTTTTAAGTGAAAAAAATCTTCTGTTTATTTAAAAACACCCTTGTTTTATTTATTGAATAAAACTTTATCCTTTGCTAATGTTTAATCATTGTACTTTGATAATAAACTTATTTACATAAGCTTTTCATAATCCAGTACGTGCTCTAATCATGTATGGCATTTAATCAAAAAGAGTTAGTAACAAAATCATGCTTTTATTTCATTATAATTTTACAAAAAAAAAGCGCATCTTTGAGAATATGCATTCACTTCCTATCTCTGTCATCATTTTTTTATCGATAATAATTATTCATTCTCAATATGTCATTCGTGGTGAAAAAACTCGATATACAATGTATTGCCCTATTCCAAATGGTCATTGGTATGGACCAAATAATCAATCAATTATAGCTAATACAAATAAATATGAAATAAAATATTCATTTGATAATGTACAATTAATTATTGATCATTTAACATTTTTCGATGAAGGAGAATATATTTGTCAAAATAATCAAACAAATCATATTATTAAAAGCTATCATTTAAAATTGGGTACAATAAAAAATGTTCTTCAACTATTTTTTATTTTAATCTTTTCTATACTTATATTCATTCCAATATTTTGGTTTTTAGGTAAAAAATATTCTGGTATTAATCAATAAAATTTTATATATTACAGAAGAGAACAAGAAAAAAAAAAAGAGATCAATAACATTTTGTTTTTTTTTTTTTGTTCAAGACCACGGTAATTACAAATACAATAAGAAAAACGAAAAAAAAGAAAAGAAAACAGAATGTCTGATAAAAAATAATTATGCGGAATGAATTTGAATTCAACGCTGATATGTGCAATTAAAAAAATTTTTGTTTGTATTTCAGATTTTATATCAGACAAAGTTTTGTTTTGTTTTTTTTTTGTTAAGCAAAAAACTCTCTCGATGATACACGTGTATATGCATGTGATGGTGATTTTCGTGGTCCTTCTTCTAATGCATATGAACCTTCATCTTTTTTACGCATTCGATAGATAATAAACATCACAAGTAATATAGCAGATAACATACCAATGACAATTCCACCGATAATACCTAAATTCAAAAAAGATAATTTATTAATAGAAAATAAATATCAAAAGTTAAACTTACCAACAAGAATTCCTGGTCTAGAAAAAAGATCACGCCAAAGATTTGCTGGTACAAATGTCATTCGAGTTGTAGATACTTGATCAAGATTTTTTTTATTATTATTAGAATCAATAACGGGTAGTTTTATATCAGGTTGATTAAGAGGTATTGTATCACCAAATATTTGTGATCCATCTTGTTTGGCTGTTTCATCATCAGTATTATCATCATTTAAATAATTTTGATAGGATTCTGCTTCATCATCATATTCGGTATTATCAACTTCTTCTGCTTGTGCTTGTCGATTTAATGTTATATTAGGAGTAAATTTTACTTTTGTCATAGGTGTTACTGTTGATGGTGAAGGAATTTCTTCAGAACCGTCACCAGTATCATCATCATAGATATCTGATTCAACAGAAATAAAAACAAAATAAAATATGATTTATTTGTTTTTTTAATAATTCTTACTATCATAGGACAAATCATCATTATTCATAGCTGTTGAGCTTGAGCGAATATTATTATTTGATGCAATCACCGATTGAAACTAGAAAAACAATAAATAAAATCGTCTGTTAGAGTTTTCGTTTTTTTTTTGTGAAACGAAAAATAAAAACATGAAGTTTATTATCGTTAATTCTCATTGAATGATATTAATTAATCATGTTTGATCATGCTAGATTTCATGTAGAAATAGACATGCTTATCATTAGAAATGCCTCCGGAAAGAAGGACGATAATAATAACGTACTTGATTTGGTTGAGCAACGATAATCATTGGGCCTTGAATAAATATGATGAAAGTTATTAAACATGACAATGTCAGTACAGAGTATGGATAATGTGATCGTGAGTATTGCTTATATTGATTTTCCATTATCAATTTTGTCAGTTAAAAACAAAAATTCATCTCTTGGTAATGTCACGATTGTTCGACCACGACCAACAAATAAAATCCATTAATAATAGTATGAAGAGTAGTAGTTGTAGTAGTGGTTGTAGTCGTTGTTGTTGGAATAGAAGAGAGAGAGAGAGAGAGAGAGAGAGAAAGAAGAAAGGAAAGAAAACGAGTAGTCTTGTGTCTGCTTGTCGAACGCTTGATATCTATCTGAAGAGAGAGAGAGACAAAGAGAAAGAAAAAAAAACTTCGAGAAGAGTCACTAGAGAAAAAAAACCGCGTCTTCTTCGACAGGCTCCCTTCTCAGGGAAGAAACAGAAAAAAAATTATGGTCACTGAACATAAAAAACTCGTGACGGCGACTATACTCAGTGCGTGCATTCACTTTTCATCTTCCCAACCCACTTCTCGTTCGATCATTCGTTTACTCGATGATCGTAATCTCATTTATCCTGCACGCATACACGTTCTGTCCTTGATTTTTTTTTTGTTTCTATTTCAATATATATGTTCATTTTCATACGCTGACCATACATTTATTCACATACGATACTAATCATTTACGTGCGCATCGTGTCTAAGCAACATATGTTTTCTAACTACTAGACAAAACCAAGTTAATTGTATTGCTGACAAGTCTACAGTAAAAAAATAGCCGTTGTGCTATTTAGGATGATCATCTATCTTAATTTCTGTTTGTTCGCCGCCGCGTCTGCTAGTAGTCTACTCGACATCCGTTATTCAAAAAAAAAAGAAGGAAAGAGGTCGGGAATCGGACTATGTTACGTCACGCATCTCTGCAACTTGAGTAAGACAGAGAGAAGCGAGAGTGAGAAGAAAGAGAAAATTGGACATGCGTTTATGATAGAATAAGACTATGAGACAAAATGTCAACTCAAGTGATAGACAGCTGTGTATATATATATATACGTACGTATATGGGTGTGGCAGGACAATTACATCATTGTTTAGCTCATCAGTTCTCTAACTATTGGCACTAGCTGGAATTTCAGCCTTTCTCTGTTCATTGACATCACCAAAGCAAGATTTAATCAATATGCTTATGACAACGCTTGTTTTATGTTTTCTTCCTGCAGTTATTAGAGCCTTAGAAAGCTTCGCATTTCTTTCATTCATACACACATACGTGTATATAGAGTGTATATATACATATATATACATACGTAAAAGATTGGTCCTATCGACAAGAACAACAATATTGATGAAATATGCATTCGTGCATATACATATGGGGTATCATATAACGAGAAGTTCAGCAGAATCTTCAATTTTGAGTATGAAAAAATATTGTATTAACTTATATGTGTAGGATAATGTCTCATTTAATACATGCGATCACTTAATGTAATAAGCCTAACATAATTTTATTTTTTTGGTAACTCTCACATTCTACTAGCTGTCTTATCATCTAACTCGGCAAAAAATATAAAAGAAAGAAGAGCTCGTTTTATATACATGCATGCATTCTATTTTACACTCCGTTGGCATTACTATATTTCAATTTCCTGAGTAGTATGTCGCGCAAACAGTTTCATCTCCGTTTCTCATATGACCGTTGCCGGCCTCTTTTTACTCACTTCTTTTGTGCGTATATGAATAACACTCTAATGTCGATGAGAATGTTTCTGTGTATGTGTGCTATGTAGTCTGTCTTCTTTCATATATATATATATTGTCAACGAATGAACGAGCAAACATGCTGCCGTTCTTTTCTCTCTCTCGTTCTTTCTCTAGCTCTCTTTAGCGTGTTCACCATATGAAGAATAGAATGAAGGTTGGTCCTTTCTGTTCATTCGTTGTTCTTCCTTATTTTATTTAAATCGGTCACCATGTTGAAAGAACATTTAAGCAAGGTCAACTCATCCTATTGAATTCATTTTTGCATTTGTCTTTCCCGCCTTTTAATAATAACAACAAAGGCTAGTTGAAACTACCGATTAAACTTATGATGGATATATGTAAAATTGATCACTACAAAAATCATTCAATGTAAATTTATGATACTCACTAAAGAATATGATAAAGAAGCAAAAGAGAAAAATAGAAAGCAAAGGGAACAATAATTATCTACTGTTGACCGAACACTATCCAATGTGTATTTAAAGATTATGTGAATGTCTCTCTTATATACTTCATATGTCAAGAGTTCAGTCAACCATCGAGTGGAACATGGACAAATTTTCAAAAAAAAATTTCATTTAAGCTTGATTGATGATGCGCGCGTCTTGATTATTATGATAATAGGATGCATAACAATCTTGTTGAGTGAATAGTTTATGCTATGTAATCTACAATCGATCGTACTGAATATCATTATGTTCCTTTTTATATTCTCTTCTATCGTCTTTCTCCTTCTATATATGTACAAATATACTACACTCGACAATCAAGTCTAGACATACACAGAAGTGAAGAATACAATGTCACACTCATATATATACAAAGAATAAAAGAGGAGCTAATCGTTAAGATGATTGTTTATTTGTTATTCAATGAGAAATCTACAAATGACGAAAAGTTACCAACTATATTGAGAATAGAAAAGAACACTAAGTTAACAAAAATAATAACTTATGTAAATGGCAAAAAAATTGTCGTGTTTGTACAAGAAAAAGAAGGAAAACATTCTCTAACTCTATTCATTTGATTACACAATAATAGTAACGATAGTGTTGACAAATAATAATCAAACTAAAATGAATTTCTTTCATACAAAAAGATAAATAATCAATAATGTTTCATTTAGTATAATGATTATCATAGTATAATGAATTCAATCGGATGTGAAAGAAAAGAAACGAAGACCAGCTGTTGTATGGTGTGCAGATAATCAAGCATACATTTTTACAATATTTACTCAGGATGACACAAGGACACTCTGTATTTAATCAAAATGATAACAATTACTTATAGCAACATGAAAGCGACAAAAAGAATTCTCACCAATCAATATGCCTCATATTTGTGTAGCCTTAAACTCAAAGATCTGAAACAAGTAAGAAAAAATAATGATATTCGTCGTTTATTTTAGTTTTTAAACCAAAAGAAAAAAAATACAATATTCTATTTTTTTTCACAACACATTAAATACTACCATATAATATATATATATAATGCACTGGAATGAGAACAAAAAAAAACGAAAAAAATTTTTGGGTTTTTTTTTCAATTAACACTTTCTATACACATATGCACAACAAAATGACTAGACATTTAAATGAGATTTATAATGATCGAAATATAGCATAAGTACCAATAACAACCAGATGTGAAGCAAAATTAAGCCTTGACCATTTATCAAGAACATGTTGCCATGTATAACCAATTGTTTCTTGTGAACTTCCATCAAATAATTGTCCCAAATAGGTGAGATGCCACAAACTGAGAAGACATAAAAATACATTAACAATTATTGTCAATGGATGCCAATATGTATGTGTATGTTTTTCACATGATGAACGTAATGGACATGTACGTGCACCAACACATGCATCGAGAATATTTGCTAATTTACGACGAAAACCATATTCAACATATGCAAATAAACCAATTGAAAATAACACAATTGATAATTGAAAATTGAAACCATGTAAAAGGGCTGATGCAAGATAAGTTACAAGAATTGATGAAAAATGACCATATTGTTGTTTTATTGGAATATAAACATAGATTTTTAACCAATAATGCATTGGTAAATTCCAATTAACAACAACATCAACTAATGAATGAGGTATTTCAATATGAGATGGTTTAACAATTGATGATGAATTTGTATTATTTGATAATGGTAATGATGAAGAAATTGTTGATTTTATTGGTAATGAAGATGATGATGAATTTGAAAGGTTTGATCGAATGGAAGTTTTACGTTTAGAAGATACTGGTAATGGATTATGTGAAAGAGATTTTTTTGAATTACGTCGATTGACTAGAGTTCGATTTACTGAAATATCTGATTCATCGTTGATTGGAGATTCAGGTTCAACGGTTGCAGAAGATCCATTTTCAAGAATAGTACTAAAAAAGATAAACATTAACTATGTAGTTGAGTAGAACATTGATTTAAATATTTTTGAAAGACGTCTTTTACATAGAGAATAGCTATGACCGAAGAAATGCACAAGTTCATTATTACGAGCACGCGTATTTAATCAGCAGAGTTTTTTTTCAAGATATACAACCAAAAGAAGCTATAATTTTTTAATTCCACTATATGTCTAGTTGATTTTGAACTTGTATGAAGTTCAATGATGAACTTAGAGACGTCTCAGCTCCTTTCTACATATCTTTGAGTATTCCTGGCGAAATTTTGAAAGCTCTGATTCTTTTTTAAACAAAAATGTGTTCGAAAAAAGTGTATCTTGAAGAAAATATCGTTAGGAAGGCTCAAAGAACTGTAAGAGGAATAAAACTGCATCCACTTTAATCTATAATCTAGGTATCGCCACTGATTAAATCATTTGCATAAACGCTTATCAGAGACATTTGATGATCACTCATAATGTGGCATGAGCTATAGTTCTCTATTTAACAATAAATTGTCTTCAATTAGTGAACATTCAGTATTCTTCTTTGGTGAATGCTTAAGCGCTACAAAAAAAATGAATAAACTCAGATTGTGCTAATCTTATTAAGATTTATATATATATAATATTAAGTGTGAAATTATTTTATTATTGAATATTACTTACTTTATCTGACTTGAATCATTATGTTCTTCACTTGTCGTTGTTACAATGCCCTCTGGATCTTCTTGTTTATTGCTATTCTTTTTATTTCGATGTCTTCGTTTTCCTGTATGCATATCTGATGCTGCAGCTATTGCTTCTAATTCTGCTTGTTCACGAGATTTTCTTTCT